TCGGCAAGTTACGGCTGTCGCATCTGGTCCGGTTGATTCGGCCCAGAATATGAAAGTGAATACGCAAGCAAGCAAGTCTCTAGCAGGTGAAAATTTAACTGAAAATGGCCCGAGTGTACGGAGAGGGATTGTGTATGAGGTAGATGTAAACAGCCTATCAGGCAAACGTCAAATTGGTAAGTTTTCACTAGACTTTAGTGGAGTCAGCAGTTCGCTTGACAGTAAATAAGGATCTAATTCTAAAGTATCTATTTTTTTTTATCTATGTTTTCCGTTGTTGGTGAAGTGTATGTTGGTGAAGCGCATACGTCCATCTTGCACATGTACAGTCTTCTGCCATCTTCACCCATTAGCCGCTTCTCCACTGGCCAGTGCGAGCCGGGGCTTACAGCGAGCCGGGCGGGTCTAATAGCCTCGGACCTCGAGCACAGAGGCCGAAATCATGCCGCATTTCCACTGTCGGGCCAGTAGCCTCCCGGCACTCCTGTAAAACCCGCCCTAAACACGCCTTCACTGGACTACGTCACACAATACAAAGTTCCACCAGTGAGAGGGAGATGAATGAAATAAATCGCTAAACAAATATATCAGAAGCTGTCGTTTAATCTTTATTTACAAACTTGGACACCACACGCGGCTATTGACCGACCACGAACAGGAAATAGAACTTACTTGCGGCATTTTTGATTCTTTAATGTCTCATGGTCTTGCTGTTTTTTTTTCTTTGAACAATTAAATTTTGGGCTAAAAGTGTGTCGTAACGCATGCGCTACTGAACATGTACCGAGTAAAATATTACTGAAAATTGATTAGTAATGCCTTACACTACTGCGTTACAGCAAAAAGTAATCAGTTACTGTAATGCATTACTTTTGTAACGCGTTACTCCCAACACTGAACAGGATATGTTCAAATGTTAAAGCTGATTGATGAAGCTCAGTGGAACTGAACAGAAGGTGCATTTACAGGTGCAACTCGCATGTGTGTTGTAGTACCTGTACAGTGGTAGGCATGTGAAAGTCCTCTTGCTGCTGCAGCGTCATGTGAAGTCTGTGTTTACCCTGAAGACTCTCATTATCTCTCTGCAGTCTGTTCAGCTCTTCAGTCACCTGCTCTCTGGACTGTAGCAGCACAGCCTGAACACACACACACACCACTTAGCCTAAACCCACTGGAAGCCACAAATGGTTTTCTAAGTAAAGTGGAAAACAATCCATTATAAGAGAGGGTTTTTAAAGAAATCGGCCAATAAAAATACCAGTGACACTGAGAGATTCACCGTGTATTCCTCAGTTAATAACTAACTGAGAAACCTTTCAAGGGTGATTTTTTTAGGGGATCATGTCACAACAGAATCAAGTTTATCACCTTACGGGGCCGTTCACATGTCGCGCCTAAAAACGTGTGGAAAATGCTAGGCGCGCCGCTTTTCATTTATAGCCCAAGTTTAGCTTTTAAGTTCTGGCGCTTTTATTTAGGCTTCAAAATTCATAAAAGTTATATTATTTTGTTAAGATTATCTTGATGGACAAAACGTGTAAGTTTCATGAACTATGATTGAACACAGAGCTTATTTTTTGCGATAATCCAAAAACCTATTGAAAAATCCTATTGGCTTTTTGTCGAGGGAACCAGCGTGATGCTAACAGCCGATCCGCCTACAAAGTGACGTCATAGTTCCCCCACTCTATTGTGACAGCAGTGCTGCCATGCAAAGACACAACACCATAACTTCCGTTTTTGGTCAAAAATGAGTTATTGATAATTTTGGGACATTCATGGCTTCCTTTATCATGTGTATAAGTATCTTGGAGAAAAGCCCTGGAGATACCAAGGCAGAACACAGTATATCATCAGTTACCGCTCTTTGACTTTGTTTTAGAACGCTCAAATTAACAGTTGAACTGTTTTTATCTCGATGCGGCGCGGATGCGCCTGGAAAAAATTAGCGCGTCGCACTGCGTGCGTGTCGGGACCGCGTTGCTTCAACTATGAGCACGCCTGCCGCTCGTCTACATTTGAAATAACAAACTTGAGCGCGCAAAAGACGCGATATGTGAACGGCCCCTAATAGTGCAACTTCAAATTTGAAACCGATGTGCATCAAGAAAGTGCATGAATACTGAATGCCAAAAGTTGCTTTTATGCATTAGTACAAATCACATAGTCGTGAAGGAGAAATTCAAAATAGGACAATATCTAAACCAAGACATTCTTCATTAAATATTTTTAAATGAAAAAAACAACACATGTGCTTTCACTGAAAGTCATCAGGCAAAGCAAGTGAATGTTGTTGTTTAGGAGTGTATGTATTTGGTCATACCATCTGTTCCTGGGTGTTCCTCTTGGCCTGGCTGAAGGCCTGTTGGAGAGCGCTTATGAGAGATTCAGACTCCTGAACTTTCTGCTTCAACTCGGAGATCTGTGCACCAGACAAATGAAAATTACTCAAGTCATTTGACTTGAAAGAACAGTAACATTCAGAGCAGTCCATACATTCTTCACATTTGTGAAAAATACTGTGAAAACACTGTGGCTGTATTCTAATCCCTGGTGAGCTGCCTAACCACACATCATTTTTAGTCAACGAATACTTGCTCTTCTAAACAGCTGCCTTGTTAGGTACACTACTGTTCAAAAGTTTCAAAATGTTTATGCTCACCAAAGCTGCATTTATTTGATCAAAGACACAGCAAAAACAGTAATATCATGAAATCTCATTACAACTTAAAATATATTCAAATAGAAAACAGTTGTTTTAAATTTTAAATTTATTCCTGTGATGGCAAAGCTGATTTTCAGCAGCCATTACTCCAATCTTTAGTCTCACATGATCCTACAGAAATCATTCTAATATGCTAAATTGTTGCTCATAAGACATTTCTTCTTGTTAAAATAAAAAAATTGTGCTGCTTAATATTTTCGTGGAAACACACAAGATATATTGTTTCAGGATCCGCCAATGGATAGAAAGTTTAGAAGATTACTGTCAATTGTGATCAATTTAGTGCGTCTTTGTTGAACAAAAGTATTAATTTCTTACAAAAAAAAAAATTTATATTGTAGCAAAGGATGGTGGATATAATTCAGGGCAGTCAAAAGTGTCAAAAGATATTAAATTTGCTAAATTTGATATTAAAACATCACTCCCGCAGCCATTTATTAGAAACACTCAAATCAACAACTAGTTTTCTGAAGCTTAACGCCAAAGTAATATAACACAAAGTATAGTGTTATAAACATAGACTGTAAAAAAACATGGACGTAGTGTCCGTGATGTCACTCGTAGTTTTCTGAAGAGCATTTTTGAAGCCTAAAGTGGGCGGAGCCGACCGCCGCCATCTTGGCAGCGTGTCACCACGCGTCACTCCCGGATAATCGAAAATGGGCAAAAAGGCGGGACGTGGGTGAAGCTGAGGTGCCTGGTTGCTGAAACCACACCCGTCAGTGGAGTGGTGGAACTATGTCGTCATTTTGTAGGCAAAAACCCGGAAGCAAGTTAGCATTTTAGCACTTCCGGTTCCATCGTCCCAGAGTCAAAGGGTTTTTTTGAATGGGAGTTTGGTTAAATCCCTAAAATAAGGTCCGTGGTTCACACAAGCTCAAGATACGTTCACGTTTTATTCTACGACATAAAACACCAGTTACACCTTTCTCATATTTTTTAAAAAACTGTTACGTTTCTTAAAAAAGACGGTTGCTAACAAGTTGCTAAAAGGGACTACAGATGCTGTCGGAGACATTAAACGTCATCACGCCGAACAGTTTATCAATTTACAGTATTTTCCAATTGTAGTATAATTTATAGTACAATTAATTGTAGAATAACCAATTATTATTTTCCCGCATTTTATATTGTTTTTCGACAATGTTTTTTTATTTATTTATTTATTTTTGCCCCGAAATGCAACAAGTCTTCGGATGGAAGATCGCTTTCCTACTGATACAGAGACTCTGGGTTCGTACCATAAGGTAAACTCATATTACGATTATTCCATGTAAACACCACATTTACCGGCTTAGTCACGGTGAAAGTGAAACTTTAACGATGCACAGTGCTTAAAGCCACGTTAAAATTTAATGTTTATGGCCACATGAAGCTGTTATAGATTGAGGATTTTCTAAAAGCAAGGATAAAATAACATTTTGTGTATCCACCCAAACAAAACGATAGCTGAAATGTGGTACTTTATTCACTAAAATAAGTTTAATCTTACTATATCCAAAAACTCGCTCACTCTGCTGTTATTTAATAGATTAAATGCACTAAAACTTAACTAAATAGTACGTGGAGACACGTTTTTAATTAAAATATTCATATTAATCAAGGATTTATTGACTTTTAAATGCACCTTATTTCGAAATGTGTCCTTTAGTTGTGATTTTCTCATTTATTCACTACACTATTTATTAATAATATCTCATTTCAGTTTTAGTTTGGCTTTAGTTTTGTATTTATTCCAGTTTATGTGAAAAGGTTCATGTAGCGTGGGTTAAAATTCATATACAGGGTAAATTCTTTTCACTGAACGTGTTAAAAATAAGTTTGCCAAGTTGTGGGAAGCATGGTGGTGGTGACGATGAAGGCGAGCGACCGTGGTGGTGTAGTTCGTTTATAGCCCAAGTTTAGCTTTTAAGTTCTGGCACTTTTATTTAGGCTTCAAAATTCATAAAAGTTATATTATTTTGTTAAGATTATCTTGATGGACAAAACGTGTAAGTTTCATGAACTATGATTGAACACAGAGCTTATTTTTTGCGATAATCCAAAAACCTATTGAAAAATCCTATTGGCTTTTTGTCGAGGGAACCAGCGTGATGCTAACAGCCGATCCGCCTACAAAGTGACGTCATAGTTCCCCCACTCTATTGTGACAGCAGTGCTGCCATGCAAAGACACAACACCATAACTTCGTTTTTGGTCAAAAATTAGTTATTGATAATTTTGGGACATTCATGGCTTCCTTTATCATGTGTATAAGTATCTTGGAGAAAAGCCCCGGAGATACCAAGGCAGAACACAGTATATCATCAGTTACCGCTCTTTGACTTTGTTTTAGAACGCTCAAATTAAGTTACGGTGCTCTGCATTTGTTTAGCCCTTCGTCAATATTACTGTGCCAGCCTGGAGTTATACAGTATTCTGCCTTTGTTTTACTGTCCATTAAAGTCTGCCGCGTTTAAATTACGGTGTAACTTGTGTACTTTCATATATCTGTCGGCACTTCATTAAACAAACAAATTAGATAGATCGTGATCTAACAAACTGCTCCATATAACAAAGCACTGTAAACAAGCAACGACTAGATAACTTGGCAACAATAACTAATCGCAAATAATCTTTAAAGCTTTTTTTCTTTTTATAATGTAGATTATTCACTCAGTGCCAGCTGTCAGTCTGGGGCTGCCCACTTCTGCAAGTGTGAGGAATCGAATGCCGTGACAGCGTATCACATAAAATCAGTTACTGTTAGCAATTAAATACTTTTCCTACCTTTTTTTGTAACTTGATAAAATCCATTGCAATGAACGTCATCGGAGATGTTAAATTCACAATCATTCTGAGCATTATTACAGCTGGCGTTCACATCAATCCACAAGTCGTTCTTATAGGTTAAGCTATTTTCATTCAGTTCGATGTAAAAACAATAGGCTAAGTATGTCTTGCATCCTTTAATGTTAGCGAACACTGCAAATAAATTGCTTGCAAACGGTATCGTTTAACTTTTGGTTGTTACGGTCAGAAATTTTTTTTTTATCACATTACTATATGTTATAGCCTAGCCAATGATCACTAGATTTTATACAGATGTTACTATAATGATTCTGTAAATGGTGATCAGCACCCAAATATTGTATATAATGTGGAAGTTACTGCCTTTTGTCTTGGCGTGACATCTCACTTTTTGCAGACAGTGCAAAGGCAGAGTACCTACAATAACTTCAAAATAGCGGTAAAAATCAAGTTTGAGATCATTTTCATTAAAACATCTAATTGCCAGATTTCCATTGTCCTACCCATAATCAATTTTTCTGTACAAATAAAAATCTTTAAAGCCATTTTTCTAAGTTTCACAGTCTAGCGAGTTTCACACTCTGGAGCAGAGCGGCAGTCCACCTGTCACTCAAGTGGCCACGCACATAATTATGCAGAACTTTAAGGCTTAATATATAATTTAAACGGGTGAGTTATAAAAAAAATTCACCCCCCTCACATTGTCATGAAGGGAAAAATTACCTATATAGACCAAAACCACTTTTTGTACCAGGCTGTAAACATTTTTTTTTCTGCTGTAAAGTTAGGCATTTTAACATGGGAGGTCTGTGGGACGGACTGACTCCCTTTTGGAGCAAGCCTCTAGCTGCCAGTCGATGAATTGCAGTTTTAGTCACTTCCATGTTGGTTTCAAAGAGAAAGACCGGGAGGTTGCCGCTTGGTTATAAATGGACATTAATTAAAAAAAAAAAAAACTATTTATGATATTAACAACTGTGAAAATGTGTCTTCACTGTTTGTGAAACGGGTCCATTACTCAAATAAATTAGAATATGCACACACAAATTGCAAAATATATATGTGCTCTGTAACAGGAATTCTAACACTGAGCTGTTAATGCTACCCAAAAAGAATATGGTGCCGATAAGTGATTATTAAAACAACAATCTGTAACATTTTAGTATAGGGACTAGGGCTGTGCGATTAATCGAAATCGTCATAAAATCGCGATTTGAGCATGCGCGATTTCGAAATTGCCTTACAGCACGATTTTCCGCTCCCCCGACCTCCCGCAGTATGCTATCCGAACCAATCAGAATGCAGCGCGCCTAAATGGAGCACTATTAATAAGCAGCAAAGTAGGAGTTTGGGGCAAAAGTCGTAGTTATTGGTTTGTTTATAGCGAAAACTGGACCTTAAAATAAAGTATGACCCAAAAATAAAAATAAAAGTTTTGTGGCTTATGATATTCCATTTTGCTTAGTATGCAGCCTTAGGGCTTAATACATAACTGTTATCTTGCTGATATGAGGAAATATTAAAAAGATGTAACATTACTGCAGTTTCCTCACTATATATGATGCTCCAATTAGCATGTGAACCCATCCAGGTTTAACCTGTCAACAGATTTGTTTTTCACCAAATCCATCAGAGAGCTTTACCTTGGCAGTAGTTTCCTCATTGGCCTGTTTGACAGAGTCCTCTAACTCATGCCTCTCATTCATCATCCGCTCCAGCTGATCGTTCGCCTGCCGCAACATGGCCTGAAGCTTTTTAACCTAAAGGCAAAGGAAGTTCACATTGTAACAATTACTACAGACTGTCCTTTTGAATCATTTCATTATGGGCCTTGTACGTGATATTAGTAGCATAAAAAACAAACCTGATCTCGTGTCTCTGCCTCTTGTCCCTGAATGACCTGCAGCTGTTTTTCATAATTAGAGCACATATCACATCGCCGCCCCAACTTCCTTCCAGCGTTCTTCAACTGGGATGAAACCACACCAAAAACAAACACAAGAAGTATTATGAAAGCATGTTGTCATATGACCTCGTTACATTGCATGTTTAAACAAGCAGTGTCCGGTTATGAAACAGAGTTAAAATGATTAAAAATCATGAATTTTTGATCCAGATCATTCATCAAAATGCAAATGTAAAGTGCATTGCATTGTGGGATACAGTTCTGTATGTCCTACAGAAATCGTTTTTTTCAGTGAAGGATATCACTCAGTAATGATACAGATTTAAGTTTTACAAAACTTAATTTTGAAATGGACATTAGTGGAAACAATGGCAACTTATAGTTCCGTGAGTCAGATGTTGAATCAGTCACCTCTGACTGATTTATGCAGAGTTCACACTGCACGATTTTCAAAGTCGTCTGGTCAACGTGGTTTTCACACTGCACGACTATCTGAGGTTGCAGTCAGTCGCTGCTGTGTTCACATTGCACGATGGATCGGCGACAGGAGGTTACACACTGCATGACTTAAGTTTCTGATTTACTAAAAAGAACCAGCTCGAAAGATTCATTTGTTTGGTAACTGAACTACCAATACACTGGTTGCATTGTATGTTTCTGATTCCCTTAAAAGATAGGCTCAGAAGAGTAATTTGTTCATGGAATTGGACAATGGTTGTACTGTAGGCGTCTAATGGCTATATAAAAGCATATGTGGTAGATCAGTGGTTCTCAAACCTCTCCATGAAGTACCCCCAGCACTGCACATTTTGTATGTCTCCCTATATCTGACACACCCACTTCAGGTCTTGCAGTCTCCACTAATGAGCTGATGAGCTGAATCAGGTGTGATAGATGAGGGAGACATACAAAATGTGCAGGGCTGGGGGTACTCCAGGACAGGTTTGAGAACCATTGTGGTAGATCATACATTAAAAAAAACATACTGCACACAGTATAAATACCATGTAGTACAAAAATATTGCAATCAAAATGATAATATGGCATTCCAAATATATATAGTTCAGTCATGAAACTCTAGATGGCGCAGGCTGACGGGTTGTTAACCTAACTGATGATATTCAGAGAGTTAAACGACTTGGCACAAGCTGATTGGTTCATGCTGCATATGCAGCCAATGAGCTTACTGCCTTGCATTTATATGGCTGGTAGGGGTGGAACGGTTCAACTTACTCACGGTTCGGTTTGTATCACGGTTTTAGAGTCACGGTTCACAGAATTGATTCCTCTTTCACATATCCTTGCATCTGAATGAACACATACACACAAAATTATCTCAAAATCACTGTCTCGGCAAGTATTCTCGTAAACACAGTCAGTTATGTCTTAAGTTAATGTAAACAGTGGTGAAAGAAATCTCAAGTGCATCATTATATTGGATCCGTGCATTCAGTCTTAAAGGGGCAGCAGCCTATAAATACCTGCTGTTTCATATATGTGCAGCATTTTGTTGGAGACATAATAAAAGGACACCTTTTCATTTATAATTTGTCTTAAATCTCATTTTGTTAAAAATAAAAATTGTGAGAAAATTGTATTGTGAAATCAGTATCGTGAATTGTATCCCATCGCATCGTGAGTTGAGTGAATCGTTACATCCCTATATGCTACTAGTTTTTGCTGTGGTATCAAAGAAGTATTCTGTTATTTAAATAATAAAGAACCATATTTTTTTTTGCTCATCTGCAAAATGATCCGATCTGTTACTCAAAATCTGATATGATAATGCAATATGATCCGAGTCGTGGGTTGTGTGATCCGTTGCAGCCCTACTCTCGACTTGTTATTTGAAAAAAAAAAAAAAAAGCAATCACTGAAGTTTTTAATCATGCTGATTTGTCCAGTGAAGTTCAGGCGATGTCTTTTTTATTTTTTATTCGGGCTACTTAAATTCATTTTGGGCTACCAAAATCTGAAGAATGTCTGCCTGAAGGGCTACCAGCGATTTTGAAATTTTGCGAGCCCTGTGTATGATTAATATTGAGAAAGTGCTGTCACTTTAAGAGAATGAATTGATCCAGTGCACTGATACAGTATGTTCAGCCGGCTATGTCTGCTGTAGGATACTTACCAAGACGGGCATTTTGACATAATTTTTGTGTGAATTTGTCCATTCAAACACAATACTTCAGAGAAAGCTTAATATTTGTGCGCGTTCTGAGGTTTGCATGCTTTGGATGAGCGCACGCACAAATCTTATCACTGCGCGCGCGAGCTCGCGACCTCTGGCTCTTAAATGTTTAAACTGGCAAAGCTTAAATGAGTTTAGTTTAAACACAGATATCAACGTGTGCTGTTCAGGTCTCACCTGTGCGTGCGCGCTATCAGCACCCGGGTGATGACGGAATAAATAACTGCTCATATTCCAGCATTCGCATTGAACAAGAGTGAATGGTTTGTCCACGTTTTTTTTTTCTTCTTTTTTTCTTCATCACTGTTGTTGTAATGTATTGGGAAGCCAGAATGCGCATCCATCAACAGAAACATATATTAATACTTCAGAGAAAGCTTAATATTTGTGCGCGTTCTGAGGTTTGCATGCTTTGGATGAGCGCACGCACAAATCTTATCACTGCGCGCGCGAGCTCGCGACCTCTGGCTCTTAAATGTTTAAACTGGCAAAGCTTACATGAGTTTAGTTTAAACACCAATATCAACGTGTGCTGTTCAGGTCTCACCTGTGCACGCGCCCCATCAGCACGATGACGGAATAAATGACTGCTCATATTCCATTTCCAGCATACGGCATTAGCATTAAACAAGAGTGAATGGTTTGTTCACGTTTTTTTTTTTCTCTCTCTCTCATCGCTGTTGTTGTAATGTACTGGGAAGCCAGAATGCGCATCCATCAACAGAAACATACATTAGCCGAACCCAGTTTGTTTTACGTGTCGTTATTTATAACAAACCATATTACAGATGCGTTGTCAGATTTAAGTTGAACCGTGGTCCTAGTGCGTGCCGAACCGTGTGGAGAACCGTACGGTTCGATTTTTTTACAGAGAACCGTTTCACCCCTAATGGCTGGCTAGCGTTCACTTGAGATTCCTGCAGCGTGCTTTCAGAGTTTCTCTGAAACCCTCCACCTTCCCCAGCTCCACCTGTATATATCTGCTACGGGTTATTTTATATGCTATTTGTGCAGCAGCAGTATGTCTTAAATACTCACGGCACCGTATCGCCATATGCATTGGCAGTAGCAAGTTCCTGTACTTGCTTGCAGCAGCGGTAATAATCTACAACTAGAGCAATAACCAACAGTAGCAGCCATGGGCAACATTAGGAAGGGGCAAGGGGGGGCAATTGCCCCCCCAAATTGTTAGTCGTGGAATCCCTGATGTCGGCCCCGCTGCAATTGGAGAGCTTAGCCAAGCGCTAAATACCCTCAACGTGTTTTGCAGCGTTGAGCAATGTAACCAATCACAGACATATCTGTTGATTTCTTAACTAGGCTACACCCTACATCCGCATATTTATGCGGGATTCACCCTCGAAATAGCAGTGATTGGCAATGGACGGAACATATGGACAGAAAATATGTTGATTTAATTCTGGAACCGGTCCTGTCCAAACCTCCACAGACAGCGCGCGTCCCGAGCGAGATCTAATTCACGGACCAAAAGCGTGTGTAAACTTTATTGAGATCGGGACATATCAACCAGTAATTT